ACTCTCCACTCACCCGATTTCGTAATGAATCGAGCGAGTTATGCATATCCCGTTGCGCCATACTCGCTGCCCGGCCTTCTTCTCTACCACCATCCGCACGCACCCCGCACCGGTTCACGTCCACATTCAATCGTCTTCCTCCCCCACTCGTAGCTCAGCCTAGTGATCCGCRGCGCCTCCGTATSACACTCCCYCAAYCAGCTACCGCCTCCCCACCTACGCAATTTTCCTTGCTGCCCGTTTTCCTCCTCTGTTATCACCTCGTATGCGCCCTGCCTCCTCTCTCCTTTCCTGGCAGGTTTTCTTCGGCGCCCGCGGCTAGCGCAGCCCCTCACAGTACCAACCGTTTTCGGAGAAAAAAACCTCGGAAGTGAAGGCCAAGGCACCGCGGCTTTCCTCGGATTTACGCAGGTTATCCTTGCGCAGGGGCTGTGCTAATCTTCCCGGTATCGTTTCAATTTTTACGGATGTCCCGAAGGATTCGACCGGGGCAATGCCCCGTAGTGGCACCAGAGGCCACACGGCCCCCCCCCTCCTCTCCGCTACCTTCGCGTGGACTTGGCCTCTCTCTTAGGCTGGATTCGGGCGGGCACTTCTGGTGCACATGACCAGCTTTAGCAGCTAGTGCCCCGGCCCGCTGTTGCTCCCCTGCCGTTGCGGGCATCGCACCTGCTGGCCAGCGCGGCTCTAGCCCGCGCCCCTATTCAAGGCTTGGGCGTGGCTGCTACGGGGTTTCCCGCAGATACAGCATACCCCCGCGCGGCCCCCCCACGCTTAATATTAAGGGTGAATAATACAAAAATTAAAACAATAATCACAAAAGTTCAACCCGGAGCCACCCGGCAAAGGAAAAGAAGGAGGAAATAAATTATTAGTGCCGCCCTGGACTCTGCCGCGCAACCCCACGAACCGCAAAACCACGGGGGATAGTCAAGCGGCCCTCAACCCCATCAGCTCTCTCCTCGATGCTCCGTTGCCGCTGCGCCGACGCTTGCCGATCTCGATCCCCAAACCTCCGTAGTGTCAGTCCAATGTCGTAACCTATAGCGCTAAGCCCAAGTCTGGGACCCACATCTGCGGAGCGCTATATGAGACGGTGCGGCGCTGCGCTCGGGGCWAGGGAAATTGGCCTGACCCTCTTCCCTGCCTATAACCGTGTGYGCAACCGCCCAGCRTCTGCGYAGACTTACCAAGYTGTACCACGGCCGCCACTCGCGCCACCCCGCGTGCCAAGACCTACCGCAGTCACATCGTTGCCGCTGTCACCGCCGTCGAAGTCGTCCTCGAGGTCGTTTCCGCGCGCGCGTCTCGGTCGAACGTACCAATCAACGGAAAGTATCTCAAAATCGTGCTTAATCAAAAATAAATAAATATTAATAATATCATTAAACAGAACGACCGATGTCCGCGCCGGATTTATGATCAACAACAGAAAAGAATCACGCGTGCCTTAAACATGTGCGCCCACGCACTCGCTATTGCGGTCAACCACCCAGTCAAAGCAATTACTAACGCAGCTGCGCTTAGCGCGATATACTCAGACTCTAGACCAAAACTATTTTCTGTCACTTGCAAAAAAACAGGGCGGATACCCTTGTAAGGGTATTCGCACCGACAGCCTTACCGGACCATATTAAGCGACGTCCCCGTCGCTTCGCCAAATCTGAAAGCTATAAATCCATTCACACTCCAAATGCTGACGAAAGAAGTGAGCCAATTCGAGTAGCCGACCAACACAGGGTAGAGGCCTCCATCAAACCATGCCTTCACAACTATATGCTGCCAGGTTTCTAACCTGGGCCTCAGGAGACTGACAGCATAAGTTTCAAAGACCTTCCCAATCGTCCTCTCCCCGGTCCTAGACAACCTTCGGCTTCTCGTTGGGTGTCCCTAGTCCTGGCAAAAACTAGGGACGCGGGCCTTAACCGAGACCTTTGAAGGCACTCTTGGCTTCCTTCTCAAAACCTCTCGCAATCAAATACATGTAAGTATATATGTAAACTTAATATCCACTCCGCTCTTTCTGCAGTCTAGTACAGAAAAGCCAGGTCTCCATCTTGGCCCACCATAGCCTGGTTGATCGGACCAGGACTACGGCCTACCGCATTGTTATTTAACGGCAGTACCCTCGTTGGTTACGCAACGATAGGGTTTCTCCTGATAGGCACTCAATCAGGATCTCCCAAAATCTCAACCTTCACTATCCCATGAAGTAATTTCCCTGGGGCAGGTAACTCCCCTTAAACTCTTACCCCGTGGTCCCGCAACCAGGTTGCGCCAGTTAGCAGCCATCCAATGGGGTTACGCCCTAGAGGTACTAACTTATTTTCCGTTAGCTTGACCTTTCTTCAATATATCTCAGAATTAGCACCAGTGGTTAAACGGGTGCGTCAAAACAAAATCACAGGCCCACTGCGCGATACGCAGGGGTCCGAAGGCATTTACCAGCCCTCCTTCAATAGGCATGGCCTCCTTCGCACGCTTACAAGCAAAATCACCGCTAAATCCACCAGGCCGTGACCCCTTACTTGATCAGAGCCAGCAGCCACCCACCCTGAGACATCTCTCGCCTTGTACTCATTGCGACTTTCTCAAACATTTCAAACAAAAAGTGGCCCCTTTCCATCAGACTTTATCATCCATCAAACAACTCATCATGCCATAAATCAATTTACTCACTTCTGAGGATGAGTCTTCCAACCAAAAACCACTCCCCTTTTCCAACAATCCAAAAAGGGACTCTCTTCATAAATAAAACACCCCCTCTTCCAAAAATCACGAGGGGTCTCGCCATAAAACATTACATTTCCTCTTCCAGAAATCACGAGGGTCTCATCATAAATCAAACACCCCCTCTCTCAGAGTCACGAGGGGTTTCGTTACATCACAAATCATCACAAAACATCCTCTCCCTTTTCCAAAATCTAAGGGGGTTCCATCATAAAACAGAACATCACTGTGAGACCATCTTATGGGTCCTCATCACAACTTAAATAACTTTCACAGACGGACTGCGCTTCCTCCCCTTATACTCTGCCTTATCAGCTGCCGTGGGCAGGTCGCACAAGTATACCGAGGAGTAGACAGTTTTACTTACAATCATATTCACAATACCCAAGATACATAAAAGTTTTTTCACACATTGTCCACACAAACTCATCATACATCAGAGTACAACCACACATGTGAGAGAGACAAGTGATCGTCACATATAAGAATGGTCCCTGAAGGAAACCTCATCATAATATACACTCAGGGAGTACAATGTCTCACACAGAAAGTGTCTCCAAATCATAGCTTGCTCAACTCAAGCCACACCAAACCCACACTGACAACTACCCTTAGAATACATGTCAGATCTATGTCTCAAAGGCCAGGGCGTAGGCCACCTAAATATGTACAAGCCTCATCTAAACCACCCTGACCCTCAAAACCCCAACTCAGTAGAAACACTAGAGTTCAGATCTAGATTAACAGTAATCATAAAAATGTCTTCTAAGTCTAAGAGAGTATCACACAGAACCTAAGTTGATACCTCACAAAATGCTCGATCACTTATATAGACAAAATCGAGCCCTACCTCTTCAACTCCTCCTGGTTTTGCCTATATAACTGAGCCCTAAGCCCATCTGCAGACTTCTCTACTATCCTACCCTGTCTATCATACATTTTACCCCCTACCTCTGAGATCTTCCGTGCTGCCTTATTCTCAAGAAACTCGAGATAGTCCAAAGCATGATGTGCGCTCCTCTTGCAGTAGAAACATAGTTGATCAACCTTCCTCTTAAACTTCCTCTTCCTGGGCTGAGGAGGTGGTGATGAAGGAGATCCTGCCAAGGTACTGATAACCCCCTGCTGCTCTGCTTGAGGAGCTGCAGTACCAACGACTTCCTACCGCTCTGTCCCCGGAACTGGTCCACCAGACCCAGATCCAGTAGCCCAAAATCCTAGTCTACCTCTCAAATCCTCTGTCGCAGGAACGTACTCGGGCGTGTCCAACCTCTATGGCCTCCTCTCGAGTGCCGCCTCTGGCACTGCCGTGGGCTGCTCCTCAATCTGCTCTGGTCTATACTCAGGTGTGCCTATCCTCCGGAGTCTACCCTCGATGGCATCCTCCTCCTCAATCCCCATCTCTCTCTCAAGAGGCTCCTCTATCCTCTGCTCAGGTGAAAACAAACTCACCTCCTCCTGCATAGTATGCACTGCCTCAAGGAGCACGCCCATGGATCCCTCTGCCGAGCCCTGAGTCGGCTCACTTCTAGATGGTGGCAACCCCTCCTCTACTGCCAAAGGTACGACTGGGCCTGCCGCCGCCACCGGCAGCGTCGCGAGCTCAGTAGGGGCTCTAAACTCGAACGCCTCTCTCTCTCCTCCTTTCTGCCCTCCCTTCTGGCCAAGGAGCTTTTTCTGACGAAGGTAAAGGGGTCTCCTCTCTCTGCAACCCCTCCTTTGCCTGTCGGATGCTCCCTGGTGCATCCCCGAGTCTCAAACCCACTGCTGGCGTCTGTGGGGGCGTGTCCTCTCCAACCTCTATCACTTCCTTCCCTGCACGTCTCACCTCATCGCCCAGCCCTGTCTCTTGCTGAGTACCCCGGACCTCTTCCTGTGGTACCTCCTCCCGCGGCATCTCCTCTCGTTGTATCTCCCCCTGTGGCACCTCCTCTCGTGGCACCTCCTCTCGTGACACCTCCTCTGCCTGCTCTCCATGCTCCTCTCCCTGAAGCGACGCCCTCTACCGAGAAATATCTAAATGCATCTCCAATTCCCTCAAGGGCCCCTCGGACGCTGGCGGCTTCCCCTGTGTGTGTGCTGGCGACCTCCTCAATCCACCCTCAGTAAAACGATGGAACTCCACTGGTCCCAACCCACACTCAGGGTATGCCCCTCGCTCCTCATCCTCTGGCTCCTGCTCTCTCCTGGCTAGGGCCTTCCATCCTCCTCGAGATGGTCTCGCCTCCCTGGGCTCAGGGTCCCTCGGCCTCTGACTCCTCTGCCACCTCTCGACTCTGGGCTGAGGGAGCTCTGGCCGTCGAAAGGCCTCTCTCAAATGTGCCCTGCAGCTTTCCCAATCTCATGCCATGTCCCTGATCTGCATAGCCAGTGGCCTTTCCGCCTTCCTGGTCCAGAGTGGCAGTGTCTGTATCCAATCATCTCTCAGTATGCCCTGCTCTTGCATGAACCACTCAAACGCGGGGATGAAGTCCGACGCATTTCCAATCTCCAGGCGGATCGGCCTGCCATAAGGTCCCACAGGCGAGGGTCGCAACTCCTCCATCTTCATCTCCACCTCCTGCCTCGTCGTCGCCTCCCTACGAATCCTGGCAATGGGCTCTTCGAACCTACCTGCTCCCCTTAATCTCTCAATCGCCTGAGTGACGGTCCAGCCCATACGCCTCGCATGCTCCCAGAAACTGTCCAGGAATAGCTCGATGTCCCCATCATTGTAGACTAGAGTACTTTCTCGTTGGCGAGGCTCATGCCGCTCATATCCTCCTGATGCGCCCAACGGCCTCTGAGGCGGCCGTGTCCCCTTCCCTCCTCTTGGCATGGCTGTCTTCGTAAAGTCAGACCTGCACAACAGGCGAAGGAGACAACAGGCACACGTTGGGGTAAGCAAGCAGGTGATAATCAGAGCAAGCTCAAACCAGACCACACTTATGCAACATGCATCCTTCCTAACCTACACACCCTATTACTTCTATTCTAGGGGCGGTCAGGTCATCTCTCTTACCTCTTCACTCGCCACGAATTTCTTCAGTCGCGTTCCAGATACCCAATCCTTCCACTCAGTCTCATTTAACTCCTCGATCTGGTACGCTCCGAAGTCTCCGACCTGTGCAATTCGGTAGGGACCTAACCATCTCTTATCGAGCTTCCTGGACCACTGCTTCTTCAGCGATGTATCGTAGAGAAGCACGACATCCCCGGCTGCCAAGGGTACTTTCCTCACTCGCGCAGAATGATCCCATCAGGCCTTATCATCCATACGGCTTCTCGCCACCTGATCAGATGCCTCCTGGATCCTTTCTTCTATCGCCCCGACCTGCCGCGCCCGAATATCGAGCAACTCTTCAAATGACAGGTTGGCTTCCAGATCCCGGCGCCTCCATGTCTTAAGAAAGCTTTCGATAGGGAAGGTGGCATGCCTTCCGTACCACACCGTCTGCCCGGTTCTTACTACCAGGAATCCGTTCCAATTCGAAATTGAACATCCAGATGTACGTCAGCCATCTGGCAATCGTCGGATCCGATGGAACGTAATTCCTTAGAGAGTAGGTCAGGGCGGTCGGATCCACTCTCAAAATAAACCTCCTGCCAAAGATATAATTCYRGAAGATTCGCAGACAATGGAGGACAGCAAGGGTGTCCCTCTTGAACTGAGAGTAGTTCCTCTCCGTCGTACAGAGAGTCCGGCTCTCAAATCGCAAGGGTCTTTCCTTCCCTTCCATGTCTGCCTGAATTAGAACTCCCCCTAAGGCAGTCGGTCCCGCATCCGTCTCGACAATGAAGGGTCGCGTCTCTGTGGCGTCATAATCTGGCGCTCCTAACACCAACCCTCCTT